GCAGTGGCAGCAGTGGAAATGGTGATGGCAGTTGCAGAGGTGGAGGCGGAGGCGGAGGCGGTGGATGAGCTGGCGGTGACGGTTGCTGCGGTAGAGATGCCGGTGGCGAAGGCCTGGTTGTTAACGGCAGGAGGTGGAGGTGGCAGCTAGGCTGTGGGGGTGTCTGGGGAGGAACAGTTAAGAGTGGCAGTCGAGCTGGCGATTGTGGCGCTGACGACAATGGCGAAGTTGGAGGAGGCTGCGGTAGTTGTGGGTGGGTGCGACATTGACGGCGTGGCGTCGGCGGTGGGGGTGTGCGGTTGAGAGTGGCGGTGACGAGGCAGCTGCAACTGTGACGCGCGGGGTGCGACGATGAGCACGTCATACGAGGTGAGGGAGGTGAGTAGTGACTTTGCTACGCGGGGATTATGTTCTACGTCAGTGACTGCGCGGGACAGTCCTGTCGTCCAAGGGCACCTGTGTCCGGGACAAAATGTACTGAGTGAAAGTGGACTGACATTTGCGGTCCAAGTTGGAGACATGTTCCATGGTTATTCGTAGATTTAAATCCCCTTGATTTTTACTTTCTCTCTACGGAATAGAGAGAATGTTATGTAATGCTTCGCGAAAAAGGGCGATTTTTCTTCAGGAAAACTCTGATTACAGATTCATGGTAACGAAAATAGGATACATCCAGTTGCTAAATTTGGAAGAAAAAATCCTCTAATACGTGGGGTAATTAGAATTCATGTGGGTGATTTCATTGTGGGTCCTTGGTACCGAAAATTCAAATGACGGCAAACGTCTGTCTTTCTGTCCATCTGTCTATCTGTCCGTCCGTCTGTGAGCAACGCTAGCAGCTAAACCGTTCAGCCGAATTTCTCTAAAATTTATTTTACCTAATTGGTCGTGCTGATGTTGTGACCCCTCTGAATTCGAAACCGATAGTTTAATTTTGGGGGGTACTTAACGTGAAACCCCTGGGATCTTTTCCAAATTTTCAAAAAAATGCTCTATCATTTTGATTAAATTTTATTGTTGGATAGTGTAAAGGACGTTTAAGAGACATGAGACGTGCAGGTCTAATGTTCTTTGAAAACTAATTTTTCGAAATTTGCAAAAGTTGAATTTTTTTCGGAATCTTCTTACAACTAAAATATTCAAGATAGATGTTTTATTCCTTAATGAAAACTGTTCCTTAAAGATAGGTTTTGAAATACGGTCATGTACGATTTTCGAAAATTTGGTACTATTCGCATAAAGTCGCATGAAAATACGGGGGGGTAAAACGTGCTGTACGTGAGAAATCAGTACTAGCTTTTTTTAATTTATGCTAATGTGTATTAAATGATAAAATGCGGCGGGTGCAAGGTAGAGATTATCCGATTTAATAACACACTTTTTTGCACTTGATTTGATTATTGTAAAAATGTAGTTTTTCATTAAATTAGAATCTAAGTAAGAAATACGGAAGATATTTAAATCAAATTATTCACGCATTGCCTTTTCATGCAACCAAACAAAAATATTTCAGTTGAAAGACAACTGTTCTTTAGGGATTTTTATCTAAATGTGTGACACCACACAAGGTAAATTAATAACAAGAAAAAGAAAGTTCATATTAGTGCCTTATATATCTAAAAATGATTTATTTACGCGAAAAAGTAGTTAGGTTTTGGTTGGCACCAGTGGAATAGTTAATGAAAAAGGGCTTGGCGGACAACGTGTTAACACGGCGTAATTTTCACAATCTTGTGAATCAAGTCCATTCCCCTATCCTTCTTTTGTGAGAACACATCAATAATTAGTTCGATAAGCTGTGGATGAAAAGAAAGTTCCCCGAGAAGCCCCTTGTCAATTGCTAATGAAAGACAGTCTGTTGTTGCTAATTGAAATTCCTAAATGCGTTTTGATTTGCATGACGGTACTCATACTCCGTTCTCTGTTTGCGGTTGATAAGGGAATAGTTAACACTAAACGAAGAAGTTTCGTAACTCCTTCAAGCACATTTTCCAAATCACTTCCTACAAAATATTTTAGAAGCCCATGAGGAGGTTAACCATTTTTAACATTGGCATATACAGTATTTAGTTCATTATGAAGTATTTAATTCATTATTACATCTTTGTGAAAAAATGGATATCGTTTTGCCAATGCTGCTATATGTGGTGCCAAGGGTCATCCATACGCCTCTTAAGACCTATAGCATAATCCAGTGTCACAATCCCTTTGCACATTCTCGCCCACTCTTATTATGTTGAAAAATGGCAGAAAAATGTTTTTCTGTTGTTATAACGGCTCGAGAGTGAAAATTCCAGCGAGTAGTGCTGGCTTGGGGCAGTTTAAATCCCTGCTCAGTCAGTGAAACTGTTTGTTTCGATGATTTGTTGAAGAAACTGTGACATGCTGTTAACACACAAACAAACAGACGTACTTCCTTTATGGTTTTGGTACCTTGAGTCAGCACCAAATTTAACTAAAGTGCATAACAATGAACGAACTGTGCATGAGGCCAAAATTGCTTGACATATTTTTGAACACCCCCATGTCGCATTTGAGACGTCGTAAGACTAACAACTATTCCATTTTCTACATTCCATTCCTCTAGGACATGACATAAAATTTTTGACAGCAGCTTTAGATACATCGAAAAGTCCAATGAATCTCTCTTCTATTTAATATTTTATACACATCCTAAAAATTACACTCATTTGGCTCTTAAATGACAAGTCTAATATTTCATCCGCCTGAATTGAAACAATGCTTTCCTGAATTTCTAATTTTATATTCTCATTCAAAACCGTGTTTATGATCTCTGTTAGATCGTTTTGAATTTCTGGCTATGTTCTCTTGAATATTGTAGTCGATAACAAATGATCTCGAATGACCGACTCTTTTTGGGCTTGTAGATGAAGCAATTCCAAAAAATTTCCTCTATTTTCAGAGCTTTCAGCTTCTTTGTGACTACGAAAAGGTAATTCCTGTTTGCAAAACAAATTATTGTTCAAATAAGCCGTACCAATAGCCATCTATTTGCAGATACTTGCTCGTTAAGTTTTATTGCCTGAGGTCGAGCCACCTCCAGCAATTGTGTTTTGTTCTTATTTTGCCGAGAAATTGAAATGTTTCTTTGTTAATCAAATGCTTCTTTGAAAACTGGTGTTTTATGGCTTTTTTAACGATGTTCCCTGAATCAGACATACCACGTATGTACCATGCAGTATCTTTACCTCCAAAAAGTATACATACGTAACAATTATTGTATTCTATAAAACTTCAATTCAAAGATAGTATTCAATATTATATATTATGAAATAACATTATCATTAAATACAATATGAATTAACATTGAAATATTTATTCGAAATATTAGTTTACATATTGTAAATTCTATCATATATTTTATGTTTTCTTGTTCCGTACATTAGCCCACCTATTTCCTCAAGGACATAATAATTCATCAATGTCCTTGTCCCACCATATGCGAAATTACAGCCAGCGTGAAAACTCAAGTTCCGGAAGTATGACTATATGCAACGCATATACTCTATTGTAGGTTTAATTTTCCGTAATCGCCGTAACATTAGAAATAAGATCTTACAATAGGTAATTGACTGAACATACCATTCCTTTGTTCCATTCAGTATTTTAGACTCGTGTTTCTAGAAGAAAAAGAACGTCACCACTTCCTTTCTTTCTGGGAACTTCTCTCAAATAACTTGATCCCATTTCCATTATACGGCACATCATGCCACCTTCGAAGAGCTGATTTTGCTTCACTCAATATATTTTCGTTCTTTCGTGCTAGTTTGAAATAATTTAATATTGAACAAAGGCTCCAGATGAGAGTTGTAACACGAAAACAATATTCTTGAATTCATGCTCGAAAAGTTTTGGCGGTATTACTGCTCTATTGAGTGCGTATTGTCGGAAAAACTAGACAATCAAGCGGTATGCTCCATTATTCTGCTAATGTTCATTTATTTTCAAAGCAAATGCCTTATTTTGTCCTGGTTTTAAGTTCTTGAAAAATAGTGTGAAAAACTCTGTCGAAAACGACTCTGTCGTGTCTGTCATCTATTCAAGATGGAAGTGTTGTGAAAAGGCCTTTAGATTTTATATCTTTTTTGTTTTTATTTTCAGTATATTATTATTGTTTTTGTAATATATTTTAATTTTTTAATATTAATTATCCTATGTATAGAATTCTGTACTGCATTTATCATTACTCGCCGTGTTCTCTTGATATTCACATACAGTGTCTGCCGTCCTAATGTCTCCCGAAGATAATGTCAATGAAGAATCGTCACCCGGGAGGTCTGTCTGTTCCATGTGTTTTTATTCTCTTTTAATTTCCAGTTTTGAAGAATTATAATTGCAGTTATACGGTTAATATTTCTCTGAAATGGTTGGAAAACCTGATTGGATAATATGCTTATATTTTCTTTCTCTACCTCCTTTGATTTTACTTTCTGGCCCAATGTTAATTAGATATAACTTTCTTGCATACTATTTAGATAGTATTGAGAAAGCATTGGAATTCTGGGTCAAAAAATGCTACTTTTTCGATAAACATATGATTCCATTTAATTAATAAAAATAAATGTTTAAAAATTGTCTATATTTCACTAAAATTAGTTCACGAAAACTAGTCATATTTTCGAAAATTTGTACATACCCTTGTTACCATCTGCCGTGGAAGAACAGATTTTATTGGAGAAAATCAATTGTCTTCAATATTGCACTTATCGAAAGACACCTAAAAATGTTGAACTTTGGCAATTTACGAAAATTATGAGATTTTAACAACTGTGCTTTTGTTTTAAGCGATGTATGCGTTATCCGAAAAAAACATTTAATCAAACAATTTGGAGCCATTTTTGAAAAAGTTTTGTCTATGTTGTAGAGACTTCATGTAAATTACTCCCCAAAATCAAAATATCTGTTTCTAACACGGAGAATCTTCAGTTCGTAGTTTTTGTTCAAATTGTCTGCACGGTTTAGACTCTCGGGTAACAACTGACGGGCGAATGTACGGACAAACGTTTTGCCGTTAACCACATTTTCGATATCAAGGGCCTCTAAAAATTTTATTCTGATTTCACAATGTATTAGAAATAGCATAAATACTGCTTATGGACAGGATTTATCCACGTTTTTTTATTTCCGGGGCCCATAATACGAGTTTTTATGTCAAAAAACCGTCTAGTTTTGGCGCAGTATTGCAATATTTTCTCTCTTACTATATCAATGGGCCTACATAGTAAGGTGAGAAAATAGAATATTGAGAGATATTGTAAAATGTTTTATGTAGTCATAAGATGTATGATAAAGATTATTTTGTAACAAATTTTTAGAGCACACTGAATTATGCTCTATTGGTTCGTCTGTAAATAACAATACAAAAATATTTTTAAAATCTGACATTAATATTATTCTTTACTTGTATTTAACTTTAGGTTCCGGTCATGACTAACCGGAACTTCTTTTGAAATGTGGCAAAGATACTTTAAATGTCATATAACCACAAATGGAGACTAATGCAGGAAGTATGATAAGGTTGAAGAGAATGCAATAATATTTTGCTTCACTTACTATTTCCATGACTCTTCGAAAATGATTTTATCAGTTGGAATCCGTGTAAGTCAGACACGTCAGTCTGCATAGAATATCCGTCCTTGCCCGTATTCAAAATACGGTCATTCGGAACAAGACTGAGCTGATAACTAGTGGCTAACTTCTCATTCTCCCTATTTAGTGAGATCATTTCAATGGATATTATAAAATGAATAATTTCTTTGAATATCGATATTATACATTGTGATAACTAGCTACATTGATCCTTGAGGTATTTTCCACTTGCATCGAATTCGTTTTATTTGCACGAAGTTAAGGCTTACAAAATTTTTTTAGAAGCATTTAAATCACGAAAATCACCTAAACATAGTTATATGATTCATTGGTCTTGTGCGTGAGCATAATTAACATAAAAATTATGATATTGCCTTGGAAATAAATGGCTTGCAAACGACCACAAAGATATGTGGTCTACATGTTATCAGAGGTAAACCTGTCGCTATCTCGCAACGTTTCAATGTTTATGTCCCACCTCTAATAACAGTGTCCCGACAACAATGGCCTTGAGGAAACTCAGGAAACCAGCGCCGTCCAATAGTTTCCGCCATACCTAGTACTTCGTGGGTAGGGCGCAGAAGTTAAATTATCTGGCTAAACCACCTCAGGTAAGGGCCGATCCCACCTGAGATTTCTAACTGATCGCGTATCAACTTGGAAGTGTCCACGAGAATGGTTAAACTGGTCGTCTCCCACGTTTTCACAAGCATCTACTGAAGCTTCTTTCGTCAATTTGCCGTTTCATCGCCTTCCTCTCATTTCAGGCATGGTAAATGATTTAAATATATAATTTATTTGCCTTTTGATCTATTTCGACACATCCGGAAACACTTTAGATCGATTAACAATTTCATATTTCTCAGGACCAAGTATTATGCACAGCAAGAATGTTGAAATTCACAAGTAAATCTTTGTCATGTCAACGAAACAATTTTTTTCCTATTATTCAACCAATTTTGAATATATCTACGTAATTCAGCGTCGCACAAGATATTCCATTCTGAAATGATTCGGTATTCGGCCTTGATTGGGAAGTAGCCTAAACTAGAATTTTATGGTATCGAAGAATGAAATGAGTAACGAAAGAAAAAAATCGTCTATTGCTTCACATTAGGTTCTTCAAAACATTAAAAACTCAGCTACTGAATGTAAAATATTTGTAATGAATCCATTTGTAATTAACGTTGTCATTGTGTATTATTGTAATTTTATTTGTTTGTAGAATTCGTTTTGTACATTCGACCTATATTTTAACTTCGAGTATGTTTCATGACTCAAAGTGAACAACCATTAATATTAGCCGACAGTTTCGGCAAACAGTACTTGTTGTTGCTAGATTTCAATGTAAGAAATACTCCATCTCGGAAAACAGTAAATAAGAACAGTCATGAAGTTTCCGTAACGTTACGTTCGTAATCGTTTTCTAATAAATACAAATCTTATAATCTCTGATCGCGCACTTCAACTTTGAAATGCATTTTAATGCAAAGTATGGCGTGGTAGCTGTGGAGGGAACTTTGTTAACCACCGACGGTCTACTTGCTGCGTAGCCCAACCGGAGTACATGACGGAGCGATGGCCGAGGACGGTGAGCCAGAGAGCCCCGCATGCTCGCTGTACATCAGCCCTGCGAGCAGCGCCGTGGGCGGCGGCGCGGGCGGTGGCGCAGGCGGCGGCGCGGGCGCAGGCGCCGGCGCGGCCGGCGACGACCCGCGTGTAATCCATCGCGACGCTCTAGCGCAAGTGCTGGAGCGTTTACAGCCGGTCGGTGGTTGGCAGGTTTGCTTCCCGTGCAGGCACTGTTTCGCTGAATCCTTTATAGGAGTATTGGTGTTGATGGTTGTAGAAGTGAAAATTTAAAATTATAATAACATACAACATAACTAAGAAAGCTACAGGTAATGTTTTAAGAAGTAATTTTGCATGGATGGAGAAATAACGATGAAACAAAAATATACGAGTAAATATTATAACATCAAACACATAAAAAGGCTTGAAAAGAAGAATAAATGGCTTTCAGAAGTTCTTATGCTTCGAGTTACACGTACACTAATCCAAGCGACAGTCAGCAAGTAATGCTTCATATTATTTTATATTTAAATAAAATTAGTTAAATAAAAAAACGAATTTGGCACTATTCCTCAAACATCCTTCTACAATCCACCGCAGTAGTAACTTTCTGCGTCAACATGTGACAGCGTAGCAATCGTTTGAAAAATGGTCGAATAGTAGTCCGCAAGAGACACCGTTGTGTGATTGAATTCTTGAATGTAGAAGGGGAAATGACTATTCACATTCAGAAGAGATTGAAAAATGTGTTCGGTGACGCAACAGTGGATGCCAGAAGTGTTGGGTGATGAGTTATTCTTTGTAACGAAGCAAAGGGGCTAACATCGTTGGCTGACGAAAAGCGGAGAGAAGTCGATGACAGCTGTCACTCCACGCAAATATCAACGTGTAGTTGACAACATTGGTGGTGACCGCTGAATGATTGCAGACGGAGTGAGGGGGATGCGATTTATCACATTTCACCTTCACATTGAAGAATTCAATCACACAACAGTGCCTCTTACAAACGTCTGTTAGGCCATTTTTCAAACCACTGCTGTGCTGTCACATGTTGACGCAGAAAGTTACTACTGTGGTGGATTGTAAAAGACGATTTGAGGAAGGTTTGCCGAATTCAAATTTTTTACTTAACTAATTTTATTTAAGTAGAAAAAAATAGAATGCATTACTTTCTGACTGTCCCTTGGGTATACGGAATTTCATTGAAGCAGAGTTTAAAGGGGGGTCAAAGCTGATTGGAGTTCTAGTGGGATAGGCTAATGCCAATAGACCTGCACTATTAAATGCCAGAGAACCTCCGCCCTCTAATTAGGTACCCTGACCGAAGAGCTTTAGATGAACGCTGTCAAGAGCGGGTATAGTCAGCAAGTCCAATCTCTCTCCTCCTCGTGGTTCCCCTTCGATTCTCTCTGTAGCGTTGTCACAGAGAGTAACTAATGATAGATTGGTGATGGCGAGTTTCGGTGCTTAAAATCTGGAACTCTGAGCTAAAGGAAGTAAATCCCTGAGAGAAAAGTCAAGGTGAAAGAAGCTTTCCAGGAGAAGACAAGTCAGTCATTCTAGGGGAGAAAACTCCGAAATAAAAGGCAGTCTTCCTTGCTGGCAGACGTTGAATCGTCAAAGGCTAGAAGGAGAAAATTTCGCTCCCAAAGCGATAGTAACATGCGAAAAAAGTTTAAAAAAGAATAAAAAAATAATCAAAAATTTAAAAAAAAATAGAATTCTTGGTACCAATTACACAGCTACACTAAGACATTGTGCTCGTGGATGGGGATCAGACCATGTGTTCTATATGATTTTGGGGTCGCTAAATCCGAACCCGGTGTCCATTTTACTCTATCGCATCAGGTTTTTGACGTAACCTTATAAATATAAAAAATGAAATATATACTATAAAAAAGAAAAATATTTCTAATCAATGGGTCAGACTATGTTGTCTGTGTGTTTTGGGGATCGCGGAAACTGAATATGAAGTCCATTTAACTTCATCACATAAGATGTTTTAGTTCAGATCAATTCTATTTGATAGATGAGGTGGCAGTGGCCCCTGACGGAACTACACTCATCCCGTTGTATGGCAGAATACCTATTTCTTTGGCGCTAGATCACTACCCTTCTTTCCAAGCAGACACAGTTTTTTTGAATTATTTGATGTTATGTGAAAAATCTTATGTAATGAAGTTAAATCGACTTCAGATTCGATTTCAACGACCCCGAAACATATACTCGTAGGTAACATGGTCTGACCGCTCGGTTAGAAATATCTTTTTTAAAAAATATTTTTAAGTTATGTAAAACCTTATGTGATGGAGTAAAATGGCATGAGATTCGTATTTAGCGACCTCCAAACATATAGAAAACATGGTTTGATCCCCAGACACGAACACATTTTTTATGTGGCTGTGTTATTAAACAGACAATTTATTATTTTTAAAAGTTTACACAACGTTTCGAATCTTATAGGTTCGTATTCTTCTTTAGGTATATTTTCTTTAATTCTGATTTTCCTTCACCTTCTGTCGATAATTATTTAATTGATGCTTTTTTAATCACGCTTTTTTCCCTTTTCAGCATAACCAATAAAAATTAACACAAAATGCGTTCCTTGTAGTCACATATATCTGGCCGCAGGTGATCGAGACCGGGTGCGGGCTGATTGCGTCGTTCGCGACGGAGGCGGACGCCGACCGCCTGTTGGGTGTCGACCTGGCCGAGGAACTGGGCGGACCCGTGCAGGTGGCACGCTTCTCTGCACAGGACTCCCGATATCGACAGGTGAATGGTACATGCAGAACTGACAGCGCGGCCGAGAACAGAACAGAAAGGAAGTCTTAGACTTAGATCATAAAGTCTCTTTGACAATTTATATATCTTTACCTTGAATTACCTTTTTCCACCAAATGAAACGAAATTTTGTATTATTGTCACACTATTTAAACTATTACTTGCTGAAATTAACTGCAGTGAATACATAGAATGTTCCTCTTTCGCATATGCGTTGAATATATCTCTCCTGTTACTTTTTCGTCATCATTTAATTATGTCAAAACGGTGTAGTCAAAAAGCCCTTGAACTTCTTCTCCAAGTACAAATTCCAATTTAGAGTAATGAAACTATCCAAAATGTTAAAGGTCTTCACAAATTTTTCTTCTTTCATTCACTTCACTATTATTTAATTTTAGCGAATTATATTAATAATTTACCTATGTTTATGACGTGCTTGTGGACATCAGAACTATTTGAAGATATGATTTCTTAATACACTCAATGCACGTGCATAAAAATGCTATGCGTTGTGCTTAGTCGAACTATAATACTTTGTGCAGCGTAATGCATGCCCTTAGTTGCTGGTATTCAAGTGCTGCAATACATTGTGAATCTATGGTTGCTTTACCTTGCTTGGGAACTCTTAGTTTCATATTATTTTACCATTGATTGTATTGTAGCGTGACGGCTATGCAGCAACTCAGCGCTGAAGCGCAAGGTAGAGGGTTGAGGGTTCTAAAATAGCCGCCCGAACAAAAGGCTGGAATTTCCAGAAGGCACGGGGCCGCGGGCAAAGACAACACCAGAAAATTTCTCTATCCAGCACGTGTGGGGAGGGGGGGAGAAATGATGTGGGAGGTCATGTGACTCGCGCCTATATAACGCCGCGTCACGAGGGCGCGGGTGGGTATCAACTCTGGTTTCCTCGTGGCGAGTCCACGAAACATTGTCCGCCCAGGCTGTCGTGGAGTGCCGATGTCACATGGTGGTTCGATGTGTTCGGACTAGGCGACGTGTTCCTCGAACACTGCCAGGCAGATTGTCGATCTGACGGGGAACACCAGGTGCCAATTTGCTAGGAGGCCTAGCAGGCTTGTCGCAGGCGTCGCCGCAAAGCGCATGTAGAGAGAGGGGGGTTGCAGTGGTACCTCTAACAAACCGCCTTGAGAGTGAGGTTTTGTATGTATGTACATCTATGTAAATAAACTTGTATAATCTCACTCGAGTCTGTTTCCTTTGTGGCGTAGATCCCTACCCAAGACGTTACAATATTAAAATAGGGGTCGGACTCTCGTTCGTCTGTTGCGATCAGAGAACGGGACGCAGCGATCACAGTCTTACTCTCCGTTGTTTTGTCGGCGCATGGACAGGAATGATCAGCAATTTGTGTCCGTCAGGATACTTTCTTCAAGTAAAATGAGATGCATCTACCACAATGACATATATTGTATATATGTGTATATATATATATGTATGTATATATATATATATATGTATATATATGTATATATATGTAAATATATATATATATATATATATATATATATATATATAAACGAGTACATATATTGATGATGATTTAGCACAATACTGATGACAAGCGAATTTCAGAAATGGGACAAAATTCTCTGCTCTGCTCATATGTTTCACTTGGTAAAATAGTTGATTAAATTATATACTAATAAACAATAATTAATTGCAATGAGTAATAGTTACATAAGATGGTAAATAATGTGATTATGTACTTGTTTAATTACGAGTGCTTTAGTGCAAAACACAAAATGGCCTTTTACACACGTCAATTATACATTTTATCTTACTCGATTGCGTTTTAAAGATGTTTACATATTTTTCGCAATAATTGATATGAATAATGGCATTGACAGTGGCTGTGTTTGAAATGGATATTGACGTCAGAGATTGAAATTGATTGGTAGACTACATTTGCGCTGAACGCTCATTCAGCACGAAGCGGACGAGAAGAAGCGCAATGAAGACAGAAGAATGAAGAAATTTTCGAAAGTACAGAAGAACCCCGGATAATCCGAACGAATTGGGGGGGTGGCCTGTTCGGATTCGGAAATGTTCGGATTATCGGTGAAAATGTACCGTACATTTACTAATACATCTATAGGATTATCAGACAATGCAACGTAGCGTGCGATGTGAGAATATAGCAAGATAGTGTAGCCATTATCACATTGGATCTTCAAGCAGATTCAGTTCCTTGTGGCAAAAGATTACCGATTTTGCAAGTTCCTTTACGTGAAAATTACTGCCGCATGAATTTGTGATATACACCGTAGTTACCAGTGCGATAAACGTTTCATTCTACTTGTTTCAATAATTAGTTGTTTAGTTCTACAGTAATTATACATTTATTTCTTTACACTACAAATAATCAGTTTGTTTGTTTTGTTTATTTTTCCTCCATTCCGATTTTTTTTCGGAGTATCCGAAATTTCGGATTTGCAAAGCTATGTATGAAGGAAGAAGAAGAAGAAGAAGAAGAAGAAGAAGAAGAAGAAGAAGATGAAGAAGAAGAAGAAGAAGAAGAAAGAGGACAAAGGAGTTAAGAAGAGAAAAAAAGAGAATTAGAAGAAAAAAAGAAGAAAGTGATTGAATAGAGATGTTTCTGTTTGTTCTTTTATGAATAAAGCAACACTTCGTAACCATCTGCACGGTGTTATTTACCAAACTGTTGCTTTGAAATTTCACTACATCGGATATGGTAATCAGTCATTTTACCCCCTCCGAACGAGTACGTAAACAATACACAATGGCAATCGGATGAGGCAAAATTTATTATTGTTAATTAATTAATACTGTTAGTGTACAGAAACTTACTTTTTGTACATAAACTGTTAATATAGGGACTCATGTTGAAAAGTATGTGTGTCATAAATCTCTGCACGAGCAGTTCTTTACGCTAAAATCAATAATAATAATAATAATAATAATAATAATAATAATAATAATAATAATAGATTTTCTGTTCTTTATTTGTGAAATGGCAACTGCCAGGAATTATTATTATTATTATTAATAATATTTTATTAATATCCCGTAAATTCACGAGTAAAGATGTAAAGTTTAGGTTAAATATAAAATCTACTCCAGGTTGTAACTTCCTAATGAGCAAATATAGTGACTATGTCTATCCAATATTTTCACAAAATGTGGGCTCAAAATCCCCAATAACGCGATGTCCTGCTCTTCCAAGTCTTGTAAATAATCTGGGGGTTTGAGCAAGTTCATATATAATGTGAAGGTTTTCCTTTTCTAGTAATTTGATTATTTATGTTGCCCGGTTAATATTGCATTTATTAAAATATTGATTAATTTTGCTATTTCAAACTTCATAAAAAATGTCCATTGACTTATATGACAAACCTGGGTTCGACATATAATATATTATCTTCTTATTTTACTATTATATGTGGACGTGCGACTATACGGAGCGGCGATTTCTGGAAATTTTGCTCCATTATCCTGTTATTAAAAATCTGATGGCAACTGCTACAAATTATCAGCCTTTTTAATTTGTTTGATAATAAAAAGTTAACATTTATTCTACAGATTTACATTTTTTCGCTCATTAAGGACTTGGATTATCTTTACTTTGTACATTCACAAATTCCGTACGGCATTTCTTTCGCATAAATGTTATGTTATTTATTTATTTAATAGGTAATTATTACAGACAAATTAGCTTATTTGATCCTATGTGGCTAGGCCGTATGCCTTTAAGCCATTACAATACCTACATCCTTTCGCGTTCTAATCTTTCGAATTCTGGTATTCACCCCAAACGGTCTCTCCATCGCATCAAAGCCGCGGAAAAGAGACCATAAGGCATAAATGTTCGTAAGCGTACATCTTCTACACTGGTCTTCAAAATGTCTTCCGTCCAGATGCCGCCCGTGGGATGTCCTCGTGGTGCTCCTGCTGTCGTAGTAAATTCTGGCACCGGGAGAGTTTTTGTAATGTTCCCCGAAAATCCTAACGTTTCATAATAATATTCTATAATCCGATCTATTCAATTAATGCAGTCCGTTAACACGACTTTCCCTTCCTGCGCAGGGGATGAAGCGCCTACTCGCAACTGTTAGTCATTTAACTTAATGTAAACACTTTCTAATGTCCTGTTACAGATCTATTCTACACTACTTCACGTACGAAGTCTATTTTACATGAACCCCCCAAAGAAGGAGGGAGAGGGGGTGGAGAGACACACACACACACACACCTATTCTAAATAATTGCGAAACATCGATTTTCAACGCCGTCTTGTCATTTATTAAAAAATTATGTCTCGGGGCCATGCTTCGCACAAGAAGATCGTGTTCAGTCCTCAAGCACCGAGCACAAAGTTTGTTGATAGTGTTGATTGATACTAGTGGTCCTGACAACGTGTATTTAGCTTTAGAATGTTTGCTCTAGAATGTGTTGTATACATCCAATTCTAAAGTAATCATACGTTCGATGCATATTTCCCCTTATTAAATGCCTTGGGGGTATCTGGAATGTCTCAATAGATTTTGTAGAACCAATCCCTGATAATTATTGGTACTATATTTTTACACTCCCTATTTGACTGCTCTCGATTTCGAAATCCTTGGATTTAAGACGTTTCCCTGCTTCCTTGGTTACGATATTCTTCTTATTATTATTGTTAAAAATAACAATAACACCAGTGGCTGCCGCAGCAGTATTTTGATTAATTTGATACTACAAGTGGTAGACGATAAATCCCGAAGGTTTCGCTCTCTTCAAGGCAAAGTTGCGTTTCTGGAACGACTGCTTCAATTAAATAAAAACTCTCAGTGAGAATCTATTGATTTTACTTTAGCAATATTAAGATTAAAAAGTGCAAGTAACCATCCAAAAAACTAGTAATTTTAATTGGATTAATATTCATGATTAGAATGTAAATGATTAGATCTAGAAATAATCAACTGTTTATTTGGGTTGGTTAACGAATAAGCGTATGCAATATTTCAAGTTAGTATTGAAATTCTGTGTCTCAAGGGATAATCATGTAATATAATATGCAAATCGTACAAAATGTTTGTGGTCTTTCATGCGTATTAAATTAAAGCCCAATACTGAACACGACTTGAGTGATACTATGTGTCTTGTACCTTCACAGAACGTTTTAGTCCGGGACGTCCCGTGGGCCATACCTTTGCAAGACGTCGCCGGAGCACTCGCCAAACAAGGCATCTCCATCGGAAGGGTGGAAAGAATTCGCCAACATGTGCGAGTTGAGGTATAGTATCGCTTTCAGATAATTTAGCGAAATGAAATAGATGTACTTAGTGGTGCTGCAACAACACATACGTTTTCTCATTATTTGTAACGGCAAAGCAACTTTATACTATTACATGAACCTGCAACAATTTTTTCCGTGTCGTCGCTCGATCTCAGATTCATTAAGTCAACTCTGTGCGCTTTACCGCTGCACCATCAAGTCGCTCTGGCGTACTCACTTGGGACGACGCTTTTATTATTTTATTTCACAGTTTTACCTTGTTAAAAAACAACTTTCTGTTACCTAAACATTCTAATACTTAATATTATTTTAATTACATTTTTCCACTTGTCCCAATCTTCATAATCCTTCTGTTAAATTCTTCTCTTTCAAACGTCCCTCAATTTTTCTCAACCAGCTATGTTTAGGTCTTCCTCATCTCTTCCTAGCCCCTGGATACCACTCTAAAATGATTGGGTCGACACTTAAAAATCTAATTGTCTCTCCCGTTGTTTCCATCGGAATTTTCGAAAGTTGACAGAGTACATTGAAAATGAGATCTGCATCATTCTTTTAAGCGACTCATGTTCATCCTGAATAAAAATTCAAGAAAAAATTTGGTGCGGTTTTTGAAAAAAAAATTCCGCGAATACTACTCGATTTTATTTAAAAAATTGTACATGACCTTTTTTAAAGAGCTGAGTTTTCAGGACAGCTTTTTTCAAGACAAAAATTTCAATCGTCAGTATTTTATAAAATGGATGTCAATGGGTCAATGGATAAAATAATAATTGCCTATGTTTCACACAAAATTACGCGAAAACTTTTCATTTTTTCGAAAAATGGACTTATTTGAAGATCTGTCTTAAAAGAACTGATTTCATTAAGGAAAAAATCAAAATTGTAGTTATAGGAAGACGCCAAAAAGATTGAACTTTTACAATTCTCGAAAAATAAGGTATTACCTCTACGCTACCTACCTCTACGCTATCCGAGGACAATGTTAAGACCAACAATTTGGAGTCATTTTTGAGAAAATTGTGAAAATATTTTTGAGGATTCATCGAAAGTTATCAATCAAAATATCTGTTTCAAACTCAGTGAGCCTCGAGTTCCTTTAAATTGATCGAAGAATATCAATTTTGGAGAAAATTGGCTGAACGGTTTAAGAGGTGGTAGCGTTGACTACAGTCACTGATGGATAGACGTTTTGCCACCAATGAATTTTTCTGTATCAAAGACCCACAAAACATGGATTCTGACAAAACTATGTATTTGATGAAGTAATTTACTATAAATACGGACAAGATTTTTCCATTTTATCGTTATCAGCTCCCGGCAAGAAGAGGTTTTCTGTCGGAAAATCGCCGATTACGTGTGGCACATGCGTAGTATATAGTAAATGTGGCACGCGTCGTAGCTCCCGCTTTATATATAATCGAATCTAATTGAAAAAATATCATTTATTTTTGTTGAAGACCAAAGGTAAACGTTGGCAATGTTTACCAATAACCCAATACTCCCCCTTTTTTTAAAATATTTATAGAAAGGACTGATACATTTTAAATGTGAAAATATGCTGATAATTTGTTTTAGTAGGTAACATTTGGTGAAATTTGTGAAACGTATTTGCAGCTATTTATTATTCCTTGATATTTCTTTATCAATTTCGTTTTCACCGATTTATCTATTTTCTTTTATAAAAAATGGAAAATGTCTTAACTTAATTATTAATATAATTGGTTTTGTATATTTTTTATATATAAATGCTATGTACGAAGGGCTCGAAACCACAAGAACTATACCAGAGAGAAAAGGATTTGATGCCGTATCAAAATGGTTTGGTTTGAATTAATTTTGATGCAGTATACAAGATGTCATCCAAAGAAAATTATTCCAGATCCAATTCACTTTGCATCCTACATCTGAATAGTTTCAATAAATTGAAGTGGCATTCAAAGAAATTGATACAACATATCTATGTGTTTTATTTGTAGTTTCCTGTTCCAAAATAATTTCTGGAACACCTGAGCATAAAATCTCAACGTTTCATTTCTTCCGTATAATTTTCACGTACCCTTTGTAGAATTATGAGATCTTCTCAGAAGCTTGTACCTTTCAAGGTAAGATACGTCATAGTAGTAAAGTGAAACTTTATCAGATAAATAAACCTATACCATTGGCGTCTGGGTAGGCGTAAGCACTTTTAGCTTCAGTGAATGTTCAGGATCATGTAAAATGTATTAATGAAACTAAAGGAAAAATGCATCTACAAAAGGTAAACTTTAAGATAAAAAGCGTCTGTATCTACAAATAAATAGAATTGTGAAGAATCTGCTACAAACTTTACTATATAAATACTCTGAGACGTTTTCCAAAATGTAATTATTCTTACATACTCATAATTTAGAACACCGAGAATATGTGAGAAATGTAATCTCTCATTAACAATATGTTCAGGTTCCAACCCAACTCCTAAAATTTCCATAATAATTTAGTAAGCCTTGAAAATGGAATTAAAATATTGCGAAACGGCGGCAAACTAATGGTTTGTTTCTAGTCCGACCAAATCCTGTGAACCACATCCCTCATTACATCACGGTCGTGAATTCTACAATGGTTAAAGCTGGTGAGAAAAAATAAAATAAAAAAGATTTCCGATGGCCCAGATCGTTAAGGCAGTAGTGCAGGAGCGGTTTCATACTGAAGGATCGGGCATGGTTGTATTTGTGATCGTCCTTTCACACTATCACCATATGCCACCATTGTGGTCACTAGCTGTTAAAGCGGCCTTTGAAAAAACGTTGTTTTGTGTTGTTGTTTTTCGAATTTGGCTCGTTTTGCCATGCCTGTTGTTATCCCGAGTGCGCGCGCGCGTGCGTGCGGCCGCCAGGTGCTGGACCCCGGGCAGTGCGAGAACCTGCTGCGCCAGGGCCTCGACTTCTTCGGCGCCGCGCGCTTCAGCGTGACGGCGGAGCGCCTGTGGCCCAGCGGCTCCAACCCAGGCTTGGCCGGCGCACGCCCCGAGGGCGCCGGCGCCGCCGCCGGCTGCAGCAGCAGCGCGGGCGGCGGCGGGGGCGGCGGGGGCGATTGGTGGCGCGGGCGGCGGACGCGGGGAGGCGGCGGCGGCCCGTGGCAGCCCCGGCGACGCCCAGTCCGACGGCGTCCTGCAGTGCTATCGCTGCCAGGTGGGTGCATTTGGTTTGGTTTCCGGGCACGACAATCTGCTATGGTCATTGTAATCCGTAAGTGTGGTGCTTGTTTTTTGTATCGTGGGAGGTGCAGATCATCCCGTCCGCTGGATGGCTAGCATCTACTGAACTCGCCAGCAGCGGATCACCGCCCCAGCTGGAGAGCTCTTACGCCCCGCTGAAGGCACCGACATATTGCGTGGTGGTGCATGTAACTGTGTAAGGGAGGGGTGAGGATAGGAACAAGAAGCGGGAAGGAAATATCGCCGTGCGGTCCGTGGCCACGCCTGTTAGGATATCATACACCGGCATTCGCTAGGTGTTGCATCGGAAAAAACACGGAAAATTTACTACTCAGAGCAGCGGCCGGCTTTGCGGAGTCTCCCTTAGCCAGCAGCTGAATTTGACTAGCATGTACATAGGGTCAAAAACCCGCATTGGAATTCAAAACCTAGGATCTCTTCGAAATCATCTATAATGATAGCCCAGGGTTACCCCAAGCCGGTCTCGGTTAGTAGTGAACCTGCGCGCCTCCTAAGACGGATAACTTCGATGCTATCCTATTGCAGACTCAACTATGGATGTGTTAGAATAAATTTAACAAACTGCTGGGGTATGTAGAGAGAGTCCTAAACACGAAAATGTCTTGTGATGAACAGTGCACTTGAACAAACACCAAGTGTAGAATTAATGCCTACCATCCGTGTAACGATGTGTATACTTAGCATGTATAACTTTGTGTATGTGATTCACACACGTCCATTGGTAAAAAGTGAATATATCCCCCCTAATGAGGCATAGAAGTTTGTAAATTTTACTCTGCGGTCATACTTAACACAAAAAGAACACAGGGACTTTTTACCGAATTAATTCCTCCTGATCGGCAAATTGCCTTTCAAGGGGTTTTAAGAATGGGACCATCCTTACGTAAAATTACTGTACATACTTCACTAAAATATAAAAGAATAATAATGTTTTCATTTTGTATTCTATATCTTAAATTTTGAATGGGTAATATTTATAACTTAAAGAATAGAAATATTTTTATGCGAGGACTGGATGCTTGTGTAGGGTTACCTGATGTATTCTGGAAAGATGTCCGGGAACTACACCATTCGCCACTCCGAGGCTCCAAGGCATGATTGTCAGACGTTTATGCAGTTGATCTAGGTTTGTTACCAGATCTCATTAACCTAAAGAAGGTAACGATGGAAACTCGATCTGGATGCAGCGTCCATCGTACAGAAAAGAAGAGCAAACACAAACCTACGGCCCTATCAATACCACTGAGGCAAAACGCCTCCGGCGGCAAGAACAGGGGACTCTAGCAATAACGTCCACTCACGACAACTTTAGGACGCTTACTCGTGATCAATCCATACAGAAATTATTGGAGCAGTATCAAAAAATTAATTTGCTAATGATCGACAGTCCAAAGGCTATCATACCCCAGATGCTCTGTAGTTCCCGGAATCAGGAATCAAATTTTGCGTCTTTATATGTACGCATAAATAAAAATAACATTCAAATTGATAATAATAAATAAATAAATAAAAATGGAGAGTATAATATAAATGTTAATAGACAACAACTAGGTACTCAAATAAATAAATAAATAAATAAAAATTAAATAAATAAATTAAATAAATAATAAATAAAGTAAATAAATAAATAAATAAAAAATAAATAAATAAATAAATAAATAAATAAATAAATAAATAAATAAATAAATAAATAAATAAAAGTAAACAAACAAACAAACGTGTAACTCATCAATTTACAAACCACACAATTCGTAGATATGTGCCTCATTATCCCAGATCTGTCCCGACGTGCACTCAGGGATTCTGGCACGTGGCCGCGCACTGTCGCCACCTGCCGCGCTGCGTGCGCTGCGGGGAGCACCACAGCGTGCAGTTCTGCCCTCGCCCGCGCCACGACCCGGTCAGTCCACGCGAATCCTGCTCGAAAAGGGCAAATAAAGGAGCGTTTCGGTGTGGGTTTTTACATTTGGTTGCTATATGTTTTGTGGTTACTGAATGTGAATATCAGGTTTGTAAACAACAATTTGACCTGGAAACACGTTTTCACGCAATAAAAGTGTGTAAGAATTGCATTTTCTTTTCAATTTTTCGAAATAACTCAAAAGCCATTCTTTTTTGAAAATAATGATACTTTTCTCCAACCAACAGTTAAGGCACAAATGTAGGTAATTTCAACTTTTTTTATACAGGGTCATTACGAAAAATTGATGATTCCGTTTTCAACACAACTGAAAAAACGAGAGTTCTACAAATTTGTTTGCTTAAAAAACGCTTTTTCAGGAAAAATTCTTGTTTGCGAACCTAACGTGTTCAGCGACCCGAAAAACACATATATGCGGGAAGAAATCAAAATAGAATAACAATTGTCTTCAAAAAACAATCTTCTTTAAAATAATAACTTAGTAACATTACAAAATCTATTCTAAGAAGTATATACGTCTTCACTGCAGATTCGCCTGCGATCGTCTGCCTTTTCCGTTTCCGTCAACAACCTTGTTTGTTCCGATACCAGCGCCATCTCGCTCCTCAACCGGAAAATCAAAGAAATCCTCCTGATCTGCATGGGCTTTCCACATATATGAACTAAATGTGAAAACTACACGAAAACGTTGCCATATTTCCCACCATTTGACTTGAGCAGGTGTGCTGCCACTGCGGAGGGCCGCATCACGCCGCCTACAAGCTGTGCCCCGTGCGTCTGCAATTGCTGAACGCCACCCCCGTCAGCATCACGCTCTCCAGCGAGCGCACGCCACGCGCCAAGGCGCTGTGGGCGGGCCGCAAGTAGACCGCCACCCCACCCCTCGCCCGCCCATCGGTCAGCCTCCGGGCTGCTCAGGCCTCTCCGCCCCGATCTCGTTGGGCCAGCAGCGTCCACAGTTCGAAGACTTTGTAACGATTTGGTGCCGTGTGGAACTCGTGGATACGCACGCAAATACTTGTCATGTTTTGAATGCATCGAAAATCAATTAAGATTTCCTGTTCTTAAAAGGCCACTGCCGAGCAACATTGTTTTCTGGAATGTGTAAGGCGTTTAAATCATTCATTGCGTTGTATTACTTTTTGATCCAGTGGATTTAGTAACTATGATGAGCTGTTTAAAGGTATTAAAAATATCGATATTGATACAAAATATCATCTGAATGCTTCACACCGACCCACTTTGGTGAGAGCTTTCGGTAATGTAATTCAATTCAATGAATATTGCATTCAATGGTGATGAGTGTTGATACATTCATCAAATGGAAGTGCAACTCCTCTTACACATGTGTGTGCTCCAATATATATCAATTTTTATTTCAGCTGATTTGTATAATATATGGGATTATATGATTTTCCTTACCAAAGTCGGTCTTTTATCTATTACATCGCTCTGCGTTATTTTTCGTTTTTAAAGAACTTAACACTAAGATCCAAGCACGTGTTTCGACGATCAAGAGTGCAAGTTCAATTTTCCAGAATTCAGCGGAAGATTTTGAACAGTAAGAAATGTAACGATCAATTGTATGGAGCTATGAAAAAAACAAATTGACTAATAGTTAATAACCGTTATAAGCAGACATGTTTCCTACTCTTAATATATACGGTAACTACATGCTTGGAAATATTACCTCAATTTTTATGAATATAATGACATGCTATTGACATTATATAACTTTATATATATATATATATATATATATATATATATATATATATATATATATATATATATATATATATATGTGTGTGTGTGTGTGTGTGTATGTGTGTGTGTGTGTGTGAATGAAAACCGTATTTTTTATTATTATTATTATTATTATTATTATTAGCGTATAAGCCATTTACGACCAAGCTAGACGTTATCTTCCGAGGCTCCGGAAAGATGATCGTCTGTAATAGAGTGTCTTAGTTTTGAAAAACAAAAAGGCCAATTTTTTTAGAGCTCTTAGGGGGTGACCCTAAGTGTTTTCCATTTAGTCAAATTTATTCAGAAATAAAACTTCATCTCAATAGGCCGATACTAACCCGTGGCGACACAAGCGCGAAATTTGAGTATTAAGGAATATTTAGGTTTTCTTGCGTTAAGTCAGTGAAAAACTACAGAAACACGTTTAATATATAATTTTATATTACAATATAATTCATTTTCACTCTTTAGACTGCGTTATGGGATTTACTTTTCTTGTGGGTACTTTTCTCAATGTTTCTTTCTTGCAATATGGGTACAGTGAATGATGTTCTTGAACAACAAAACACAAATTTCTTTCGCTCATTTACTCAGTAGTGAAAATTTTACATTAATTTAGCATCCCTTTCAGCACAGTCATGCACAGATTTCAACTGTATAAATAAACTTTGAGCTTCTAAGTATGAAGAGTTGCTTGTCCAGTTCGAAGGACATTGAAGGACATAATTGAAGTGTACTGTACTGAAGAGGGAAAGAATGAAGTAGAAGAATTCTATAACGATCTATAACGGGTCTTGACACTGTTAATAAAAATGATTACTTAGTTCTATCTGGAGACTTCAATGGAAGAATTGGAAATGCACCAATTGTTGAAGTAATGGGCAACAACAGAGAAACAGTGTGTAATAGAAACGGAAATAAACTAAAAGAGTTTGCAGTATTTAGCAAATTACGGATCACTATCTCCTTCTTTGGAGCATAAGACTATACACAAAAACGTTCAATAATTGACTACGTAATAGTGAATCAAAAGATGAAAAAACTAGTGAAACAGTGATTATCTCCTATTAAGAATATCCATCGCTCTAAAAAGTAATTGGTTAACCAGTCGAAATAACTCTCAAAAGTCACAGGAAGTTTAGAAGACAAACCTACTCGAAGAAGAATCAGTAAAATAACTATATCA